AGCAAGGAGCTGCCCTTCAAAAAGAGCTAATTAGGTAAAGTTAAAAAACTTTCTTTCTCACTATGCCTACCAAATTAACTACAAACTGTCATCTGGAAATCAATACTACGTAGCATGCGGACTTTGGTTTCAAGCTGAGTTCATCCGCCCGAGTTGACTCAGTCCCATTATATTAAGGCAGGACAAATTGTGGGTTTTGGGGGGTGGGGGACCTTGCCATTTTGTCTGTGGGTTGAACATTGAAGTCAAACATCAACTATGCGCCCGAAGTAACTGGGCGGCGGTCGAGTTGACTCGGCCGTTGGGCCGAGTTATAACCGAGTTAAGTATAATAAATAATAGATTCTACCTATAACAACTTGTCCAGGTGGGCGGGCTATTTTTGGAAAGAAGGTGGAAGTAAGGCGGGGATGGAGCCAGATTTGAGGTTCCAAGGTTGATGGGGTGTCATCATAAAAGTAAAGGGGCAATTTATGGCAAATTTATTTACGATGAATGGGCCAATTGGACCACATTTGACCGTATCAACATAGTATGTTTCTTTCAGATAGGAAAATTATGGTTAAGGCAGATCGCTTAATCTAAGCATAGTTTTCTACGTTAATTAAATTTTAAAGTCACGAATTGGAAAATTGGTTTTATCAGTATAATTAAATTTGTTTTGTTGCTCCAGGTTCTTGAACGCTGGGATCTTTGGCAATGGAACCGAGTCATGCCACACACTCCCTCACTCAGCAACTAGAGCAGCTATGCTTGTTAGGATCAACACCCTCCTCCAGGGATACTCTGGCATCAGATTTGAAATCCTGGAGGCGATCACCAAGCTTCTCAACCACAACATCACCCCATGCCTGCCACTTCGTGGCACAATCACTGCATCTGGCGATCTTGTTCCTCTTTCCTACATTGCTGGATTGCTCACTGGCAGGCCTAATTCCAAGGCCGTTGGACCCAAGGGAGAATCGCTTGATGCCCAGGAAGCCTTCCGCGTAGCCGGTATTGATTCTGGGTTCTTCGTGTTGCAGCCTAAGGAAGGCCTTGCCCTGGTCAATGGCACTGCAGTTGGTTCAGGCTTGGCTTCCATGGTTCTTTTTGAAGCAAACATTTTGGCCGTTTTGTCAGAAATTTTATCAGCAATTTTTGCTGAAGTCATGAACGGTAAACCTGAGTTCACTGACCATTTGACACATAAATTGAAGCACCATCCAGGACAAATTGAGGCTGCAGCCATAATGGAACACATACTTGAGGGGAGCTCTTATGTTAAAGCAGCTAAGAAGTTGCACGAAATGGATCCCCTGCAAAAACCAAAACAAGATCGCTACGCTCTGAGGACTTCTCCGCAATGGCTTGGTCCACAGGTTGAAGTGATCAGATTCGCAACCAAATCAATTGAAAGAGAGATTAACTCTGTCAATGACAACCCTTTGATCGATGTTTCAAGGAACAAGGCATTACATGGTGGCAACTTCCAGGGTACCCCAATTGGTGTTTCAATGGATAATGCCCGTTTGGCTATTGCAGCTATCGGAAAACTTATGTTCGCTCAGTTCTCTGAACTTGTTAATGATTTCTACAACAATGGTCTCCCATCAAACCTCTCCGGTGGGAGGAACCCAAGTCTAGATTATGGTTTCAAGGGTGCTGAAATTGCGATGGCTTCCTATTGTTCTGAGCTCCAATACCTAGCTAATCCAGTCACTAACCATGTCCAGAGTGCCGAGCAGCACAACCAAGATGTGAACTCACTGGGACTAATCTCTTCGAGAAAAACTGCCGAGGCTGTTGATATATTGAAGCTCATGTCCTCTACATACTTGGTGGCTCTTTGCCAAGCTATTGATTTGAGGCATTTGGAAGAGAATTTGAGGAACACAGTGAAGAACACTGTGAGCCAGATAGCTAAGAAAATCCTCACCACCGGTGCCAATGGTGAACTTCACCCTTCAAGATTCAGTGAGAAGGATTTACTCAAAGCTGTGGATAGCGAATACGTCTTTGCCTACATTGATGACCCCTGCAGTGCTACCTACCCATTGATGCAAAAGCTAAGGCAAGTACTTGTTGAGCATGCATTGGCAAATGGTGAGAATGAGAAGAATGCAAGCACTTCAATCTTCCAAAAGATCGCAACTTTTGAAGAGGAGTTAAAGGCTACCTTGCCAAAGGAGGTCGAGAGTGCAAGGTTGTCACTTGAGAATGGAAATGCAGCAATTCCTAACAGGATCCAGGAATGCAGATCATATCCATTGTACAAGTTCGTGAGGGAGGAGCTTGGAACAGGGCTGCTAACTGGAGAAAATGTCAAGTCACCTGGTGAGGAGTTTGACAAGGTGTTCACAGCTATGTGCCAGGGGAAGATTATTGATCCAATGCTGGAATGCCTTAAGGAATGGAACGGTGCCCCTCTACCAATATGCTAGTTTGCTGTCATTTTGATCTTTGAAATTTGTTATCCAATCTTTTTCTTTGTTTTTCCACCTCTCTTTTGTTTGAATTTCCTTGTAAAAGAAGTTAATGATATGAACGCGTATGTAATATGTTTATTTCTCATTTCCATCTCTCTTTTCCCCTTGAAGTTACTATCACATGAGAGGTAGATGGTGGCATGACATTCTAGAATGGACCCTTCACTTTTGTCCCTTGCTACTCCTAAAACCTAATACTTACACTAGTAATATTTGGAATGAAATTGAAAATAACCCCTAGCTTGATCCCTAGGAATGTTGCAAAATGCTTGAAGTAACAACTTTTAACTGATTTTTTTTTGCTCCCCTTCCTCTTTATTACACTGTCATGAGAGCCACATGGGTTCCTTACAGACTCACCAACTCACCCACATTATTTAATGTTGGACCCTGATCAAGGCGTCATGCTTGGAAAGTCCTTGGCTACCCAAAAATGGACAGAAACGTGATAGTTGTGTTCATAATCCCAATAACAAAACTAGCCAAAACAACCAGAAAGAAATTCTAATAGCAGAAATTGAATGTCAGTGTGTGATATAGATTTTTAAACTTTATGCTATGTATGGGCGGTGGGTCCTTTGATCCTGGAAATCCTGAGTCATTATTGACATTCATGACGTGCAAAGATTTTGATAACAAAAACAAAAGAAGAAAAAAGACAGCTAATGTGAGCCCCAGAGGCCAGTGCAGCAAACCAAAGCACATTTACTTTGCTCATTTGCATTTGTTTCAGGCATTAACTGAAGCTGACATCAGCTACAACTGCACTCTGCCACTTTGCTTAACGTGGATTAGAATTGAAGAGCAAAGGGTATTGTTTTTTTCCTCTTCTTTCAAGCTTAAGAATGGCTGATTTCAGGTAAGAAAACATGGCCTGACTGAACAATTTCCCCAGTGAACATAGTCCAATGCCACTGCTAGTATTCTCTTATGGCAGACGGAGATGACCAAAAAGCAAGAAAGGAATTGCCGCCTTTAAGGACCAATTTTGGCAACTTGCACTGCTGACTTTGACACTGATGTTGGTCCCAAATTGCAAGTGGCTTCAAGGTTAAATTTTGGTGATTGAGGATTACAAATAATCCTGGTTTCTATGGATTTTACTCAGCCTGATAATGCTAGATGCAAATGGCAAATGCCCATTTTGAAGCTCTTCACAGAGCCATTTCCCCGTTTCCATTTTGTTTGGATGGGCAAGAAAGATGACTTCGGACGATCCAATTGGGCCTTAAGAGGTAGTGAGATAATATTTAGAAAGTCTCTTCGTCCCATCAGGCCTGAGTTACTTGGCTTCAAGAGAGAGCAATAGGACACTGCGGTGGACTCAATCTGTTAAATTTAAAAATTAAATAAATTTAATTTTTTTAAAAAATTGATCAAAAACGATTAAATATAAAAATATTAAATCAATCAAATAGTGAAATAATTCAATCAATTCAGTTTTGAACAAAAAGGACTAAAATTTTATCACTTTTTTTTTACAAATTACAATATTAAAATATATAAATTTCATTTATAATTATAAAATATGAAATAAAAATTAATTATAAAATATATATTTTATATAAATTTAAAAATAATATATATAAAAATATTGTATATATAATTAGTTTGATCTTTTGATAAGATCGATTCAAAAATTTGTAAATAAAAAATTAATTAAATAAATCAATTAAATCTAACTATTTTATCCAATCGTATTTAATTCGATTTAATCATTCGTTCGTTTTAATTTTACTCATTCTTACCTGACTTCTTTTGGCAGCCCATTCTTTGACGTTGTTGGACCATTGCACCTTATCTCAAAATGAGCTAGCTAATCTAATATAGATCCAAAAGTAACTAAATTTATTTTTCATAGTAAATATAAAAAAATTAGATAAATAATAAAAAATATCTTATAATTTGAGACATAATAAATTTAACTTAAGATATAATATTTGACACTTAATTATCCCTTTTGTTTTGTTAAATTCTTCTTGACACCATTAAAAATAAGGTGTTTAAATATCTCTTATTCCATTAAATTAATATTAATAATAAAATTAAAATATTCTTAAAAATAAAGTTAACTATGGTAAGTAAAAAGTAACCACTTTTCAACAATAAAAAATAAAAATTAGGCAATTAATGTCCAAATTTAAAATTTCAAGAGACATTTATTTTATTTTAAATTACAAAACATTTGTTTGGAATGTTAAGAAACTCATTTTTAATTAAACAAATAAAATGACTAAAAAAATTAAGATTTCATTTGGTTAATAATTTTATTATTCATTTTTTTAATAAAAATATATAAAAGTAACAAGTAAGTGACAATTTTTTGTTCTTTATAATTACAAAAGAAGAGTATTTCTATGTTCTAAATTATATAGTGGTACTTATTTGGGTTGACTTGTAATTACGAACTATGCCAAGTGGCCAAGTGGACTTTTCGAAATTTGACCATCTCCTAAGTGGAAATACACGTGGCATCTCATTTGCAAAAATAATAAATAAAAAAAAGAATGAGCACATCTGTCGTGACGGCCAAAATTTGGGAACAACAGAGCTTTATATGGCACAGAAAATATATTTTTAATTTAATTTTGCATTTTAACAGAGTCGACGGGTCGCAACCCAGCGCGGTCAATGGCGATGCAGCTCCTGAGACGGCGAGCCACTCAGATCCTTTCCCGCTCCGACCTTAACCCTAACCATACCTCGCCGCTATCCTTAGCTAGAGCTTTCTGTTCCGCCACCGCTACCATCCGAGCCACTCTCTTCCCTGGAGACGGCATCGGCCCCGAGATCGCGGAGTCCGTCAAACAGGTTCGTTCCCCCTATTTCCGAATTTTCGCTGCACCGAATTTTCGCTTGGAAAGTCTTGATTTTTCAGTTTCGTTTTATTTGTTTCGATGGATTGGATCTTAAGTATTAGAAATGAAAATTTTTGCTTTAAAAAGTTTTTAATTTAGGCGCAGTCTGTCAGAAATTAGATATTTTTAGTTTAAAAGAAGCTAATTTTATAGAATTATAAAAATATACATATTTGTATAAAAATATCATTATCAAGACCCAATTTTTATTTATATTTCGTGAAATTAGGGTGGGAACTGAGTAATTTTAATTGCTTCAGGTTTTTCAAGCAGCTGACGTGCCGATTGAATGGGAAGAACATTATGTTGGGGATCAAATTGATCCAAGAACTCAGAGTTTTCTAACTTGGGAAAGTTTAGAATCAGTAAGAAGGAATGGGGTAGGCTTGAAAGGTCCAATGGCTACACCTATTGGTAAAGGTCATCGGTCTTTGAACCTTACTCTAAGGAAAGAACTTAATCTGTATGCCAATGTCAGGCCGTGTTCTAGCCTTCCGGGATATAAGACTCGGTATGATAATGTAAATCTTATTACTATTCGTGAAAACACGGAAGGGGAGTACAGTGGACTCGAACATCAAGTAAGTTTGTTTCTATAGTTTGTATGCAATTTGATAGATGGGGTATTTACTATAAGTATGAGGAGGCAATTCTTTTGCTTTGGGTGGTAGGTGGTGAGAGGTGTGGTTGAAAGTCTCAAGATTATTACTCGTCAGGCAAGTTTGAGGGTGGCTGAATATGCTTTTCACTATGCCAAGACCCATGGAAGAGAGCGAGTTTCTGCTATTCATAAAGCCAATATTATGCAGAAAACAGATGGTCTTTTTCTTAAGGTCTGCCAATTTAAATGCCTAGTTTGTTGGTTCTTCATTAATTTCCTAGAGTCACTGTTTATTAAAGTTGGTTTGCTTTTCTGTTTCTAGTGCTGCCGTGAGGTTGCAGAGAAATACCCTGAGATAACATATGAGGAAGTAGTCATTGACAATTGCTGTATGATGGTATGACAGATTTCCTCCTATAAGTATTATGTTGTTCTTTTTTCCCCACTTTTGATGTGATGGGAGAGGTCAGATTTTGAATCAGCTGCTTTAAGGGCTACCTTTCTGCTTATATTACTTTTGACATCTGACAGAAAGAGTCCTTGTTTAGACATGCACAGAATTGCATTTTCATCTTTTATGGAAGTGAAAACTGATATTTAGAACTAATTTCATTTTGTACTACCCGCAGCTTGTGAAGAATCCAGCACTTTTTGATGTTTTGGTGATGCCTAACCTCTATGGTGACATTATCAGCGACCTTTGTGCTGGATTGGTTGGGGGCTTGGGTTTAACACCAAGGTAACTAAACCTTCCTAAGAATCACCAGTGACATACATTTAGATGGTTTAACAGCATTTATGTCTTCTGCAGTTGCAATATTGGTGAGGGAGGAATCGCCCTTGCTGAAGCTGTTCATGGTTCAGCACCTGATATTGCTGGAAAGGTTAGCCGTCAAATCTATCTTATGATTTCTAATGGAGTATCTGTTGTTCATTTATTTATGTGTTGCCATTCATTTTGCATAGACAAGGAGCACTTGTGAAAAATGTGAAGATTTGTCTAGGGATTGTTAGTCATGTAGTAATGGTTGAGAGTTGAGATTGGATATCTCAAGGAAGACTATTAAGGTGTAACTGTATGCATTATGCTAATTATCAAGCTGTGTCAGGTTTTCAATTTTGGATTCTCTGCTTGGTTATTGGAGTTTCTAGATTGTGGTTCTTTAAGTTTGGAGGAAATGGTGGTAGTTTGGAGTAAAAAACCCATTAGGGTCATGTTTTGCCTGTCATGATTTGTTAATTGCATCTGCCAAGTGCCTTCTGTCTTTTCTCTTTCAACTGTAATTTTCTGAGTTTAATTTCAATTCTCATTGCACCAGCTAATTATTTATATGGTTGACATTATTTAGAATTTGGCAAATCCAACTGCTTTACTATTGAGTGCGGTCTCAATGTTGCGCCACTTAAATCTTCATGACAAGGCCGACAGGATTCAGAATGCCATTCTCAAAACAATTGCTGAGGGGAATCATCGCACTGCTGACCTTGGTGGCTCTGCAACAACAACTGATTTTACCAACGCCATTTGTGATCACCTTTAGAGATTGTTTCTTTGCAGGCATTTCTAGTTTTGCATTGGATTTCTTTGCAACTTGTCTGCCTTGTTTTTCACCTCGGCTTAAATGTTTTCCTTCTTCTCTTATGAAGAGGAATAAAAATAACATCCCCTTGATGGCGAAGGGACGTATCTTCTTAACTCTTTGAGCTTCAGCCATGGAGAATATGTGGCGTCATTTAAATTTGCGAAGCAAACATTCAGCCTTACTGGGGCCTTTATAAGGAAATGTATACAGTGGTTTCACTAAGTAGTTTATCATAAAATAAACCATGAAGATGATGTGTTTCTTCTTCATGGTCTTTATTTCCCGACTTTGATGAGCTGTATTTTCACATATTGATGCGACTAAGGTGGAACATTGTTATATCCACAATTATTTATTTCATTGAAATTAAACAAGTTACAGCTTGCAGACTGTTGTGTTTCCTGCTGTCATGCCTTCCTAACAGTGCTTTTGATTAGTTCACTTATGAGAAAGCTTTTGGTTAGTCACAATTTGTTGAAGCGCAATTCGGATCTTTACTTTCGAATCAAAAGACCAATGGATGTCAATAGATAACGGTGCAGTTAAGATTCACTGCAGGCTTCGGTTTTTCCAAGACAAATTTCGAATACTATCGAGAATCCAAAATGTTTAAGCTATTCATAGTGTCTAGAATGTGTCTGAGACCTATACATTTATACATGAAATTTGGTCATGACTATGTCAAGAATTTGTAAAAGGATTCCCCATGCTGATCAATCATCATCTGATAAACAAATGGGTTCTACACCAAAAGCAGCTGGGACAACCGGAGAACCAGTGGCCACTCGGTCTGTTAGATTGGGTACGTGAGAAATCAATCCCAAGTTATGCCTAGGTCTTAACTGATGTTGTGGGTTAGGACCAGCATGATTGCCAATATCCAGAGGAACTTCTAGTGCTGAAACATAACTATTGAAAACTGGAAAATGAATACCAGATGATTCTCTTGGCAGCCTAGGTGTTCCATAAGGTAGGTATGGTGAAATTGGCTGTGGATTACTTGCCAATTGCTGAACGGGCATCTTTCCACGCAAGGCTGATATATGAGGTGTCGACATGGGTGGTGGATTTAAGGCTCGAAGGTGTGGAGCTGGTGCTCGTGCATTGCCAACCCAGCTGCTTCCACTAACACGGATTGCAGGACTGGAATGTGGTGCAACAACACCAGTGGGTGAATGGTTAGACATCTGTGCAGGTGCTGCTGCACCTAGGCCTGTCAATGATGGAATTTGTGGATCAAGCATCAGAGAAGGTTGCCGAATCAACTGATTAATGAAACTGTCAATCGCTGCAAGAACAAAATGTGGTCAGAAGCCAGATGAAGTTAAAGGCAGGAAACACCACAGGTATCACTTTATTTCTGCACAAAGATACACTTATAATACACGTGATATAACAAGCAAATTCATATAAATCTGCAATCATAACCATAAAGCTGAATGTGTCTTCCTTTCATTTGAAAGAGCATATACAAGTTGTAATACGGAACTAGTTGCATCAGATGAACGCTGCCTAAAATCATGAAACATGTGATTGATAGGTTTAGTGCAGAATTAGCAAACTTTAGAGCAGAATCTCTAGAATGAACAATGATACTTTATAATTACTCTAAGAACAAACAAGTCAAATATTTTCTAAAAGAGGTTTATTTCCTGCCATGTACCTGGTGATCCAGCTGCATTTTTTTCCAAATTAAATGTCAGTGTTTCTGCCAATATGTTATTTAAGCAAACTTTGCCGCAATAACTCTCAAGATCCTGTCCCTTTTGCATGAATGCTACTTCAGCATCTTGAAGAAGCATGTCATACTTTTTACATATTTCTTCCATCTCTTTATCACGCTCAGACTTCAGCCGTGATATCTGCTCAATTGGGAAAGAGATGCAATAATGCTCACATCATTTAGTTGACTAAACATGACATCAAAATGTAAAAGAGAAACTAAATTCATCTTGCACATACCATATCTTCATGTAGCTTCAAAGTTTGCTCCCTAAACTTTTGTATTCTCTCCAGCTCCATGCGAAGTGGGTTTGAGCAAGCAGGCTGAGGAGTCACACTCACAGGTCTCACAATGTTGACTTGATGAGGAAGATTGTTTGGAGATCTTAAAAGAGTAGTTGTGCTCCTTTGGTTCTCAATGCACATTTGACTTTCACCCACAGGTGTACTTGCAGATGGTTCTTGCGGCACAAGTGTAACTGAATGCATAACAGGAGGACCAGATGATTCATCTAGTGGAACCTCTAATACTGGTTTTCTTGGAACTGGAGCCTCTTGACACAAAGCATGCTGATTGCTGCTGAGAAGATGTTGTATCCCAGATGCAGGTATAGTAGATATACTGCTCTCAGAGGAAGATGACCTTATAGGAAGTAGTGAGGAGACAGCTGTCTGCAATTAAGATTAGAACAGAACAATTAGCAATTAGAGGCGCCATTTATCAATGAATTTATCAAAAAATATATCTGCTGGAACTTTAAACTTTTGCATGACTACACCTAATGGAGTAAAGTTTCTAGAAGTTCTGTACAGCCCTTATTAAGATAAACAGTCTTTCTCTCTCCATGTGCACGTTGGACAAGGGGGGTATTTATCATTGAATTTATCCAAAAACTATAATTGATGGCTGTAACTTCTTCTGTTTTTTTCAATACAGGGGATTGGATATCAATATACACAAAAATCAATCTAGTCATCTAACCTTTTCTTACCTCTTGGCATAGCAATGAATATGATTCAGCAGTGTTAACATCTGCCTCCACCAAGGATTGGCCAGTCCCAGTAAACTCCAAAGCATTCAAATCTCCAGGGAGATGAGTAACTGCACTATCATGTTGACTGATACTTGAAAGAGTTGCTCTTTCTAAGGACACTGCATCTGTTTCATCACTTTCTTCATTGGGATGGGCAGCATTGGTAGTTTTCACAAGGTCATTGCCTGTAACCATCGCATTATATTGGGCTTGGGGAACTTCAGAAGGCTCTGCTACAAAATCGGTGGCCAGCAGTCTAACAGGACTTCGGTGGTGTCGAGAATCTGATATAAGGGCATGATCTTTCGGTTGATCACTGGGACTACCAAAAACAGTTGCTCTTTCTAAGGTCACTGCATCTGTTTCATCACTTTCTTCATTGGGCTGAGTAGCATTGGTAGCTTTCACAAGTTCATTGCCTGTAACCATTTCATTACATTGGGCTTGGCGAACTTCAGAAGGCTCTGCTACAAAATCAGTGATCGGCAGTCTAACAGGACTTTGGTGGTGTCGAGAATCTGATATAAGGGCATAATCTTTTGGTTGATCACTGGGACTACCAACCTTAAAATGCTGCTTTCCATTAGTGGCTCTCACTCCTTCCAATACAATTACTTCTTTTCCACCATGCTCTGGGTCAGATCCAAAGTGACCAGCTACCAATCTCATAGGTAAACTGGATACTGTCTTCTCAGTAAGAGATTCATCAGGACCGTTAGATGATGTACTGTGTAAAGTTCCACTTTGACTACAACTAGGCATAGATGGTATAGTTTTAGGCACAGAATGTTGGGGGTTTACACAAACTCTCTTTGAACAATTTGACTTCTTGTAACCCTTTACATTCTCGGAACATTGAGCAAACTTTTTCGCAACACTCTGCAATTTGGAGTAAATATAATCTACCTCTTCCTCCCTGCAATCCAAATTTAAGCGTAGTTTTGCAAGTGCAAGTGATTTGTTCTGATTAATCTTATGTTCCAATAAATCAGCAGCTGTCCAACACTACAAATTACACAGTTCATTAGCAAACTGCATGTACAATGAATGTGAAACATGCTTGCAACAGCGGAATTGGGCATGCCCATGCAATGAGCGTGAAAACTTTGTAAAGTGCAGCAAAATCTGAAAAATAGCACTTGGCAAGCCAAAGTGTTTCTAGAGATGTATATGAGAAGAAAAAGACCAAAAAGAGGGGGGAAAATGAACCCAAATGAGCAAAAGAAGCAAGAGACAGGTCTTAAGCGCAATAGATGTTTGGGGACATTGACAAGCTTTCTATGTTACTGGGAGCTCTGTTTGGCAGCAAAGATGGTTCTGTGAATATAATTAAAGATGTGATAACAGGACCAACTTCCTGACAAAGTGAAAGTAATGAATCAAAGGGTATTTCACATGTATTTTAACATTTTATAAACAGGATGTGGTACTGCAGGAGAAATCCCAGAAAAGTAAATAAACATGCAAAAATTTAAGACCTTCTGGCAGCATAAAGTAATAAAATTTGCAAGATTTCTAGGTTGGTCATAACTCATAGGTTAGTTGAACAGTATTCAAGAAAAATACAAATTAGACGAGAATTTCATATCCCAGTAATCAACACTGTATGCACCTTAATGTCATCCGAACTGATACATCCATTTACACTGTATCAGAATCAATTTACTCTTAAATCTTGTCCAAGTATGAGCAAGCTTACACTCACATTCACATGTAAGCACACTAGAGCGAAAGAGAGATGATGCTTATGTATAGATAAATTCAATTATTTTTAGTTCCTAATGATAAATAATCATTCATACAACAAAGACAACATTCTACACTAAGTGTTAGAATCATTCTAACCAGAGATATCTGGTATGCCTGTGATGCAGAAACAGATTCCCAGCTAACATCATAATCTCGCATTATGTCCTCAAGAAATGCCACTGCAGTGCCTCTGACATTCTCCTACATTAAAGGTCAAAATGTAACTTTCCAAAATTTCATCAAATTTAGAAACAGATATAACAGAACTACTACCATTAGTGTTCACAGAACAATAATGCCAATTTGTTTCACAGCAAAGATTATTTACACATTTATCTGCTTAATTTGCCACTCCGATTCACAGGGCTTCTTTTTATTTTAATAGGAGTTTTTGGGGTTTTCATCTTAATTTCCAAAATTCAAATCTCACAGGGGAAATCAGTTTATTTTTGAGGGTCAAGGTTTATTATATTTAGAGCTGTCTCATGGAGAACCTATATAAGTTTCTATTTATTTTTTTACAACTCAATGAAATATTATCAGGATTTTGCAACTGGTTGGTCTTTCAAAAAGGTATTTCTTCTCTCCAAGTGTGATACCATAGCAGAAAAATCTTTTTTTTTTCTTTTGGTTGGGAGAGGGGTGGGGGGGGCGGGGGTGTCTGGGGGAGGGGGTGATGTTAAAGTAACAACTTCTCAAGACTTCTTTTATATTCACACTGGAGAGACAATGAATAATTCCAGGAACCTATATATAGAAGGCCAATACTAATCTTTTCCCCTTATTTGATAAAGTTATTTACCAAATAGACAAGTCAACCACAAATCCCGTTTCAAGCTGTACTTTTCAAGCCCCATACCTACTTTCCCCTTGTCCTACACT